TTGGGTTTCCAAGGCAGTATCACTACGGAAGTAGGATTGCCCAACCTTCCTTCTGAGGAGTGGCTGGTGGGTTTGAACCATCAGCCGTCTGGTCAGTAGGCAAGTGTCTTAGCCACTATGCTATGTAATTTCAACCTTGACTTTCATAATAGAAGAAGAGTCATTGACTTTTACTCAGAAATCTTCATACTTATCATTTCAATCAAAGAACACAAAAGATCCAGAGCTTGTGTGGCTGCTGCCCTGTCAAGTACCTGTGTTGAGAGGGAAATTTTACTGCAAACCTAATGTACTTGTTTATGAAGAAGAATATTAAAAACAATCTATCTGCATATTAAAGCTCTATTTGGAGAAATGGCATCACTCCTGCATAGGCTGCAACCAAACTGAAGCTTTTTGAGAATCTGTTTAACCTGAAACCTTGACTCTTCCTTTTCCTCTAATAACCAACAGTCTTTGACAGTCTAGTAAGCTCAGGCTACCTTAGAGAGCCCTATGAGACACTTTCAGATACAAGGAGCAGTGATTGTGACCCTCACAGCCTCTGAGGGGAAGCAGTTGCACCATGAGGGGGGAAGGAGGTTTGGTTCCAGTCTGTAACACTGTGGGTGTGCTGCTGTGAACCTGCTGACAGTAATAGTTTGCAGCATCTTTAGCCTCCACATTGCTGATTGTGAGAGAGTAATCAGTCCCAGACCAACTGCCACTGAACCAGGCAGAGATCCTGGAGGCCAGGTTTGACGTGCCATAAAGAAGGAGTTTTGGAGGGCTTTTTGGCTTCTGTTGGTACTAGTGTAATCTGTTGGTGCTTGTATTTGAGCTGGCTTTGCAGTTGATGGTGACTCTCTGTCCTTGGGCAATAGTCATGGGAGCCAGTGATTGGGTCAGCACAATTTCTCCACTGGATACCGTGATCATGTAGGAGAGATGGAAAGAGAGAGAAGTTAGCAGAAACAGAAATATAAGAACGTCTTCATAACATCCAATATAGAGATGTGCTATAAGACTCAACTGAAAAATAGAAAAGATGTTTAAATTCTGTATTGGAATCAAACTCCCGTGAGAATGATGATCATCTTTCTCTAGAGAAAGTTTCTCTAGACATAACTTTTAGGATTTTATGTCTTACTTACCTGTGACACTGAGAAATACAAAACTCAAAATTTGAGCCTGGAAACCCATTATGTCAGCTGAGTCCTGTCACAGGCTAAACACACTTCTACTCTAATGAATACCATTTGAAAGTAACTCTGAGAGTTTTGTGGTTTCTGGGGAAGAGACATGAAAATCAGTAGAGTATAAGCCAAAACATGTTATCTGTATCCATGTGGTCCCATTTACTTTTATAAGTTAAATCAATATGGGAGAGGAAAAGTTTCTTTGTGATATTCCTGACTTGGTACATGCACCTGGTCCAAGACATCACCTATTTATTCCTGTCCAGAAAACCTCAATTTAACCTAGTTAGCAAGAGTAACTCCATGAAGCAGTGTGTCATGTGAATTTGCTCTGTGGTGAGAACGTTCTAAGGATTATTCTATGTAAACATCCATCAGAACCCCAAACCCTCACAGATCTGCTTCCTCTTGCCTTAACAGCTGCTTCACTGACACTTTGTCATCCATCAGGGTCTCCCAAGTGGCTTGTGAACCCACAGAGCATTGAGAAAACCAGCTCCCTTTGGAACCTCGGTATCCTTGGGGAAGCATGCCACGGAAGTCATGCACAAGGTACTGCAGAGACTAGAAACCACCATTCAGGCAGGGCTGCCATAACCCTTTCCATCTGACAATGAAGGGTGTTCAGTACTGGTTCATTAACAATTAAAATTTATCTAGCACTCCACCACATGCTGGTTTTAAAAAATCCATGGTCTGAGAAGCTAGGATAGAGACTCATATCAAATAAATACAAATCAAAGTAATGGTGTTTCAGTCAGAATTGGAACAACATTCTGTTTCTCAAGCATTTAAATGGAAGTCATCTGTTTATCTGGGGATGTTGGAGCACAGTTTTCAAAATAGTTCTGTATTAATTATTAAAGAATGAATGAAAGTTATATGTAGGTAATTTATGTAAGAGTTTGATCAAGGCAAGGTTTTCAAAGATCTTTAGTCTCACAACAAATTCAGGTTCTTCCCCTGTATATATTGCAGAAAAAGATCTTCAGTGCTACCTCACAGACAGATAATACCTCATAGATTCTCTGATAAAAGAATTCCCTCATTATTGGTTCTTAAAGTTTAGGCATAAAAATGACTTAGGGAATTTGTGAATAAAGGCCCCCAACCAAAGTTACTGAATTCCTAGGTGCTCTTGAGTTTACCTGAATTCTCAAAAGATGTGTGTTGAACTAAGCTCTATGTAAGTGGCTAATTTTTTTTTTTTTTTTTTTAATTATTTTGAAGATCTTCCATGGCCTCTGCCTTCCCTTGTTTATGTTGAGAAGTTAGCTGTTAGTCTATTCTTGTTCCTTCAAAATAATATAACTTTTTCCTGGTTTTGGTTAAGAATTTTTTTTTTCTATTTCATTGGTAAAGAGACTAAAGAGAATGTGTTATTATTTATACAGTGGAAGTTTTCCAGGAAATGAAAATTAATGAAATGCAGCAACTCACAGCAACATGGATAAACCTCATAAACATGCAGTTGAGTGAAAGAGGTCAAACACAACAGCATGTTGCATGGCTTCACACATGTAAAATCCAGAAGAAGGAAAAACTAAATTAGTGTGTTGGTATGCATCCTAAAGGGGCAAAGCTATAAGAAAAAATAAGGTAATGATTACAAAGAAAGTCAAGATGGTCGTTATCTTTAATTATAAAGAAGTTCTTCTCATTGGGAAGAGACATGGGGGCTCTTGGAGTATTGGGAATGTTCTATGTATTGACGTGTGTATGTGTGTCCTATTGCTACATTAACAAATCATCATAAACTCAGTGGCTTAAAACAACACAAATTCATGATCTTACGGTTCTAGAGGTCTGAAGTCTAAAATGATTCTTAATAGGCTGAAATAAGAAGCTGTGTTTCTTTCTGGAGGCTCGAGAGAAAAATTCATTCCTTGCCTTTTCTACCTTCTAGAGGCTGCTCATATTTCTTGACCTCTAGAACTGTCATTCCCTGGTCATATCACCTTTTCTGACTTTAAGCATCCTGCCTCCTTCTTACTAAGACCCTTGTGATGACATTACATCCAACAGATAATCTAGGATAATCTCTCCATCTCCTTAACTTAATCCATCTGCTAAAATTCTTGCCATGTAAGGTAGTCTACTCACAGGATTAGTATGTGGACGTCTTTGGGAGGAAAGGGACATTATTTTGCCTACCATATACATACAGGGTCAGCAAAAAAAAGAACGAAAGACTCTCAACGAGATGGACTGACACAGTGGCTGCAATGATGGGCTCAAGCATAGCAAGGGTTGTGAGGATGGCACAGGACTGGGCAATATTTCATTCTGTTGTGGTTTCTATGAGTTGGTGCCAACTCGATAGCACCTAAAAGCATATGTATTCAATGTGCTGCATGCAGAGGACTTCTTCTGCTCCAACATTTTTTGGAGATTGCAGATTCAGTTTTCTCTAAAACAAAATGTTTTACTATTATGTAATTTATCAATTACTTCACTTCAAACATTATATTAAAATATTAGGAATCCAACAGACGTCTTGCATTCTTATTTTGAAATGGGATTAAGTGGGTCTGCTTCTGGCCATGAGAGACTGAGATGGTCAGGAATCATCTTTGTATCATAAGCAAGCAGAAAACTAGACAACACAAAAGAAACAACTATTCTCAGACACTGGAAATGGGTCACCCAGAGTTGTATCTCTGAGACAAACCAAACCAAAGAAGCAAGCCTCAGGATCACCCTGGCTTTCTGCCTTGAGATTATTTCCGGATTAGTGTTCAGGGACAAACACATAGTGACAGAGTCACTGAGTGAAGAGACTGAGATAGAATGAGGAAAAGATGGCTAGAATTTGCAGAACAGTTTCCCCTGGAGGAGAATATTAAAAGTCTGCATGGGTCCCTTTGAAACTCTGGCTGAATATAAATATGTTCAGGTATAAAATGCAAATACATGAGACCAGAGGAAATGAATTTCGGAGACAAGAACAGCTCTCTGGGAGTCATGGCAGGAAGTACTCCCAGAGCTCACACAGGGCCAGAATCCTTCCAGGCTCCTCCAGGAAGAGGACAGAGACACAGTAAGCAGGAGCATTCAGGAGAGACCGCTTAGAAATGGGGCTCAATTAGCCCTAAAATAAAGGGTACTCAAGACCCACAGACCCACTCAATGAAAGTTTTAAAACAAAAGCTTATGGACCTGCTAAAAAGTTTTCAGATTCAAAATCAACTTTAACAACAACAACAAAAAATTATAATTCAGTCGCTCTGTGTGTGAATAAACACATACACACACGTTTATTTATGTGTGTGTTACAAACTTTGTATATAAACGTTTATATGTATGTTATAAATTTGGATGCCATTATGAATTATGTGCATCACAATCAATTACTTGCAAGTACCTATATATTCTATAGAAAATTTAATATAATAAGATGTGTTCCACTTTTTTACAATATCTTTAAAACAGTAATTTTATGTACAATGTTGAACATTTACAGGAGCCCTATAGTGCAATGGTTAAAGTGCTTGGCTGCTAGCCAAACATCACTGGTGGAAACTCACCAGCCGCTCCAGGAAGAAAGCTGTGGCCGTCTACTTCTATAAAAATTACAGCCTTGAAAACCCTATAGGGAAGCTCTACTGTATCCTATAGGGTCAGTAGGAGTTGGAATCTATTTGAAGGCAGTGGGTTGAACATTTTAGCATATTTCACAATATTAGATTTTTATTATCAGATTCATAATATTGTATCACCTTTGCCTTCAACAGAATAATATCATGTTTCCCTAAACTAAATTAAAATATTCAACTATAATTGAATTTTTGCTGAACATATTTTCTAAGGAAAGTAATTCTGTTAGATGCCATTGGTATAAAAGTGGCATTAATTAATGATTTATTAAATTTTCTTACTACTGAAGTCAACATATTAACAGTTTCCACCTTAATTTTTCAAAGGTGCAGGATGAAATTTACAGTTGAAAATGATGAGATTTAGAAAAACAGATACTTAATCTAGATGAAAAATCACTCTTCACTGGGTGATAAATAAAATCACCTTTTGCGCCTGTATGAGTTAAACCAGCTTGAGGAGAAATCTTCCTTTTGAGAAAAAAAGAACTAACAATAACAATAACAGTAACTACCAGCTTTGAGGGAGCTGGTCTTCAGCAGCTGTCTTCAGGTCACTGATGTCAGAATTGCCCCATGATGAAAATGAATGTCAAATAGCACTTCGTTTATGTAACATATTCATCATTAAATTTATTGAGAAATGAAAATTCAGGGCCAAATTTTTTTCTTTAAGCATGGAATTTTGTTTGTTTGAATTCACTGATGCAGAAAAAGATGATTGTGAAATTCTTAAGAATAAAATTAGCAAACAATAAAACAAAACTTTAATTAACACTATATAATTGAGACTGAATATACAAACAGATACTAGCCAGATCATTTATAAAGATAATACCTTGACCCACAACCTTGGCAGGAGCCACACCAGAATAGTCAGGACTTGAGCAATGATTTCTACATCGCTATGAGTCGGGGCCGACTCGACGGCACATAACAACAACAACAACAACAACATGCATTACACCTCCCCTTTCCAAATTAAGACCAACCATTGTTGTTGTTGTCCTGTTGAGTTGATTCTGACTCATGGTGACCCTATAATGACAGAATAGACCTGCCCCATAGGGTTTTCTAGGGTGTAATCTTTACAGAAGCAGAATGCCTGGTCTTTTCTCCCACAGAGGCTCTGGGTGGGTTTGAA